TGTGTGTGTTTGTAGACCACCTTTGCTATCCATCATTCATTTCTCTCCTTGTCATCCTTCCACCCCTCTTTTAATTCATCCTCTCCATCCCTCCCACCTTGTTTTGATCTCCTTCTCTCTCCCTCTCCCCCTCGCTCCCGGTCATATGCACCCATCTTTCCACCCACACTTGTGGTTGGCACAAACGAGACCCTGAAAAGCAGCACAATTTTGGCGTGGGGTTATGCAAAAAGAATACAAGAAACGGTGCGGCACCACTGCCTAATGGTGTCTCCATGGCAACTAAGGGAGCAAGGCCCTGCGATGCAGTGTCAAACTAACACAGGGTTTTAAAGCTTAGTGAATAAACTCGCTTTGTATGCTGCTGGGATAGGGTCAATTAAAAAAAGTAAAAGTAAGCCCTCGCTTTTTTACTGCATTCAACAAACTTTTAAAAAGAGAAATATTAATGCTTAACATTTTTTACAACACTTTTCCTTTTTTAACAACCCCTTAACATCCAGTTTTAAGTAGCTTTAATGTTAAAGCACCTTAATCCGCTTTGACAGAATCATACTCATCGTATCATCTTTTCCTGTATCATGTTTGTGTGCATCACACAAACATGATACAAACAAACTACAAAAGATTATACAAATGTCCCCCCCAAAAATAAGCCTGACATATTTCATATGTTTGAGGAATCTTTGTGGTCACCCCTAACCCTAACCCTAACCTATACCAAGTGGTTGTTTTAATCCAGACCACAATTATTATCTGAATTTAACTAAGTGGGTTTAACCGTATGCGTCAGTGTAAGATCAGAAGATCTTAGTTTTAACATTACATTTGTCAGTATTGGAATTGGCACACAGTATTTGCTGAATCTCCATTATGTTGTTTATTGCAATAATGTATGGTTGCCTTGTTTCTTTATGTAAAAAATAATAATAATGTACTATTATTAATGACAATTGCATTTCTTAGAACTTTCAAAAAACAAAAAGCCCCACATACTACATGAACCTTTACCGCAGGAAAAAAAGTCTTAGACACACACACGCACGCCCATGCACACACACAAAATCACAGAGTAGGAAAGGTTTATGCCAGAGCACACAACAGTTTATCATCCTGTGACTTGGTGTTTCAGAAGTGTGAAGGTGCGCCAGCAAACTACTGCTGGAGTTAAAGGGAAAAAGCATCGCAGCTGGAATAGCTTATTAGGGTGGAACTTTTAAGATGCAAGTTTGAGCGGAGGTTATTCTGTTTCAGTGAATGAGTCGTTTGGCTTGAATGCTTTACCTCTGGCACAGAGGCTGAGCTCTGGCACTGGCTCAGGATGCGCTGCAACCAAATATTCAATAGTCATATTCAAGGGAGAAAGAGAGGAGGACAAAAAAGCAGGCATGACGCAGCGAGAAAGAGGGGGGAAGGGGCAAGAGTTGTAAGTGTGATGGTAAGTGCCAGTCACACGGAGAGTGAGAGGGATGTAAGAAAGAAGAGCTTTCTTCCGTTTTTTTGTCTTTTGGGCTCAGTTCAAAATTCCCCAACGGGAGAGCAGCTTGATCTTAAGAGGCGACTGGTGCCTCCTGCATGTTTGTGTGTGTGATTCAGTGTGTTTTATTCCAGAAAGAGAGGGACTGATGGAGTCAGTTGGCCACTGATTGAAGTGAAATCCATTATCCCAGCAGGCCTCACACTAACTGATACACGTGCAAAACAAACACACACACGCTAGCTGACTAAACTGAAACCAGGCTGATCGTCTACAGCGAGTTGGTGGCTTTGGAACACCTTATTGACCAGCAGGGACTTAATGTAACCAGCCAGGCCACCATCTGTTTGTCCCACAAAAAGTTTAGCATCCATCCAGAGCTGTGGAGCATTATCCCTCGTCGACTAACCAAATAAATACCCTGCCGTAGCTCTCAACCATGTCAGCTGCTAAAACGATGATCCATGACAAATTAAACTTGTCCAAATTAAGCTGTCAGCCATTTTCCAACTCATTCTCCATTTCATTCAAAACACATTCCCTTCTCGAGGCTACAGATGTGCTTCTTTTTGTTTATGTAACCCTTTCTCAGAGACACTTCACTCTCGTTCCAGTAGCTGGTCCCTACTGGACTGTGACAATATGCATCCTTAAGCTGTGCAAATCAACACGAGTGGCCCTCAAACCATGAAATCGGAGCTCTGCCAACATCATTTCGTTAGCGTGGAGATGCGAGTTGAATAAACGTCATCAGCGTCTTCAAAAAGCACTTAACTACCTGCAAACGTTCACAACCCAATACGCTTTTTAAAGAACCCAGGCCATCCTCCGCTCACTTTAAAATGTGCATCTCCAGGCATTCTGCACACATTGAATTCATTTCTCCGTGTCACAGTTGTAATAGATGTTTCTAATTTACGTGCTATTCATGTGAAATTATGTAGATCAGTATTGCAATAGGCTGATGGCAATGTTCCATGTATAGTCTCACTGCTACATGTGGAGATGTGGGGAGAAGCTCGTTTCCTCCGATTTGTTTACAGTGGACGGCTGTTTTCTTCGTTTGTGAGCTTCACTGTCAAAAGATGGGAGTCCACTGTCCCATATATCCACTGTGAGCCGCCAAGAACGCTCTAGATGCTTCTCCTTCATCTGTGCATTCTTTAAATCGCTGTGTCCTATGTTAATACTAATATGTTTATTTCCTTATTTGCTTATTCTGAGAATCACCTGTTTAATTCAGAAGCTTGTTGGCAGCGTGCACCAAATGGAAATAGAACAAACATGTTGCATGGTCACAGCTCAGCTGAAATGTACTGCGGCCTTAAGCAATCTAAACCTGACATACACATGGGCCATGTTAATCACTGTGAGGAAAACGCATTATGCAAGCAAGCTGTTTGTGCGATCAAATTGAGCCGCTACTCATTCATCTTGCTTGAAAGTAAATTTGACAGCCTCGTTTTCATCAGGACAACAGCTGTATCCCCCGTCAGGCTGCTGAGAGGGACAAACCCAACACAGCAGGTGTATGACAAGACAATCTCTACCTTGTCATAATCCGCCAGGTTAATAAATACTCTATAACTAGAGTGCTTAAGTTTCGTAATGCCACTTAATGGAGGATGGTGGGTTATTTTAATGTTGATGTGCACACACCCATAAAGAGTAGCTGGGTGTGATTCTGATAATACTGCAAAGTGCTCAGTCATTTGCTCAAAAGCAATGACAGTTATGGTGGTTTGAGCTTGCATTTGAATTTTTGAATTAATAAGGAGCCATGCTTCATGAGAGCGCAGACCATGGATTGAAATTCATTGCACTCCCCCAGAGCTGTGACACTTAGGGTTGGTCCTATACTTCCAGCTCCTTGATTACGTTTCACTAATGCAATTGTCGTGTTTCTTCCCATGCATGTCAACATGAAGGATGCAAAAGCACCACTTGCGTTAAGCAGGAACACGCACACTTTTGTAATAAGTTACTCTTCCAGATGACGGGAAATAGAGTTCTGGCTCAATGACACTTCAGCAAGACAGGAGATTGCTTTCACTGTAAGTCCTTTTCCTGGCTGGTTTACACACATATAGATACAATAGTTGTATGATTAACATGTAGGAGAAGCCACCATTGAAACTGTAATTCTAATTAATTAATGAGCCACAGGAACCTCTTGAGGTTTATACTTGTTTAGACTAAACATACTGTGTCCTTTGCTAAAAACTGGGGAACCCTCATTTAAATAATACCTAAAGCACTATATCCCCAGCTTATGGGCTTTAGTGATCCAGATGTTCAAGTACGACAACCAAACGTCAGACACAGGCTTTTTTTCCCATCAGATAGGTCCACCTGCACCTGCAAAACCACCACACACACAGCTGGAAGTTACTTTGGATTACAAGCATCTGTTCAAATATTACAGGTAGATAGATGAAGAGCCTCTATAAGCAGGCCTTCTCTGTCTGTGACTGAGCAACACACTTTGGTGGGAGAGAGTGTCTGCACTGCAGCAGTGGACATGGACGTCCAAAGCTTCTCCCTCTAACTGGCTGCAGTGTCTCCGTGCTTCAGCAAGCAGGCTGATTTACATCGGGAGGGGGGGCGAGGACCCGGGAACCCAGGTTGTAAATCGTCACCAAGTCGCCACCCACAGTCCAATGCCACCCAATACCGGATGAAGAGACTGCACTGTGCCTTGGACGAGTGTTTCCCAAAAGAGAGTTGACGTCACAACCACGGTCGAGGGACGAGAGAAACGGTACATAGTCTTGAAAGGGAAACAGACACTCACACATGACAGTGGATGCCCACATATGCACTCTCTCCTTGAGACACTTCATTCAAAAGAACAACATGAAATACGCCCACTCAGAGCTCAACCTTGCATGTGAGTTTACGCATACAGCCTCCCACACAAACGCATGTACGTGCACACACACTCAGTGTAGTGTGTGCCCTCGATGCTGTCATAGAATCTCCTTGTTATCATCGGTGCTGCACTGCCCTCCGCACACACTACGTACACAGGATTTCCCTCAAGAAGAAAAAAAAAGGTTGCTGCACTTTTTTATACCCCAGCCCACATCTCAAGACACACACTCAGAGACTCAAATACACATTAACAGATGCTACCAACACTCCCTGACACCTCATATACATTTAATTATGGATGACTGAGTTTAGAACATGGATATGATGTACAGTAAGAGAGGGCAAACATGGCTAAACCTGCTTCAAAATTTAAAAAGAGCTAATGATTTCAAGTTGCTGCAGTACATCATAATTTATTGCAGAGCTCTTGGGCAAATATGATGCAAGCTCAGAGAACATAAGTGATCTATTGTAAAGCATATATTTCACATACACACTATGCCATACATGGACTTGTTTACACACAACTTCTGCCAAAATATAATCTCATTTGAAATTCCCCCTCAGGGACAAACAAGCAAAAGACGCTTCTGTGTCATCCACAACATCAGACGCAGAATAAAAACATCAAGCCACGGAATGAACTTACCTGACACAGTCTAAAAGCAGGAGGTATCAAAGAGCACAAGCTTCTCTGTCACCCGGAGACAGCAGGACATCACAGAGTCATATGTGCAGGAGATGTTGGATCAAACACTTCCTGAGCTCTTCCCTTCTCATCTCGTCTATCCTATGACTTTTCCCCTCACATTTATCCAGACCCCTCAAGTAGGAGAGAGGACGGCAAAAGAACGAGGGATGGAAACGAAAAGAAGGGTGTGAAAAATGACACCGAGATGCTCAGATCTCCTCCACTGAGACGAGTTGCGAGCGCAGCGTGAGGACCTTCCACTGCAGCAGAGCAGAGAAGCGCGCAGAGAGAGAGGGAGAGGAGAGGCAAAAACAGGCATTCGCTGCTGCTGCTGGTTCCAACAGCGTGGTTGGAGCAAAGATACGGGAGTGGAGTCGGGATCCTGGATTTCTCCTTTACCGTGCGAACAGATGGAGAGTTATGAAGAGAATGGGTGAGAGACAGAGGGGAGCAACAGAGATAGTTAGAGGCTTTTTTTGCTTTATTACATGGCAGCAAGCAGACACTATCTCTGTGCTATTCCTGTCTTGCATTACACCTAATATTTGGTATCCCCTTCCTCGCTCTACTACTGCATCTTAACCACCATTCTCCAGCTTCTTCTGTGTCCTTATCTACAGTATTGCCGTGGATAAACTCTTACACATTGCATCTCATCAAGAGCCCTTCCAAAACGTCTCCTTTTCCTCCAGAATGACATCATTACCGCTGATAATGACTGTCTTATTATTTTTTCTCTCAATGCCTGCCTTTCTCTTTCTTTCAGTCAACAATAATGTGTGACATAATTATAAAATAGTTTTTTTTAACTTACACTATAAGGAAAAATATATTTCTTTGTAAAATGTGAGGAAGAGAAAGGAGTGCACAGTGCATGATGTTATATTAAAGTTACATAACTGGCCAATTTTCCCACAGAGTATTAATACGAGGCTTCAGAGTGATCAAAGCAAGGTGAATTGTAAAGGGAATACTCTCTAATAATGTGGTGCATTTAGATAGCTATCAGTCTCTGTTATGGGGCGATTGGGCCACCTGCTAAAGTGCCTTGCTGTAACAGGGGAGCAGGCTTTTAGTGGGAGTCCTTCGGCCCCAGCAGGGCCCAAGGTCGCTTGGCAGAGCTGCTTGCCGGCAGCCCAAATCCTTCAATGATTAACAGTGGCAGACAGGATGGAGCAGCTGTCAATCCAGATCTATAGTGTCGGCAGAGAGCCCGGCCAGCCAACAGCCGTGCATTCCAACGCTGCTCGACCAGGTAGAACTGGGATTTATGAGCCCATTGAAAAAATCCATTCCCCCAGCACTGGAAATGTGGGTACATGCATAATACTGATAATGTTCCCTGCCTTGTTCACGTACAAATATTCAAGAGAACAAGGGATGAGAGGGAGGAGAAGGTGGGCTGTCTGGGTTGAAAATTAGGCTGTGCTTCTATCAGATGGGTTGAAAGGGAGATATCTGTTGGATTAATATAACTCGGTTATATTTAGCTGTAATCACATAGTGATTCAGTTTAAAAATCATTCTTTTATTTTGAGGTCCAGTTGTTCACTCGTGTAACTTGTTGTTTCTTTAACAATTATATTTCATTCACCTCCCTTTCTCCCGTAAGGTAAATTAACTAATATTACAATCAGTGGAAATTGCAGCCCATGAAACATTCAAGACATGCCATTGAGGGCACAGTTAGTCATCAAGTCAAAAACACCCCAAAGTGATAGTTTTCTATAATGATGATTTGATCCATTAGGTCTCTAAAAGGCTTTCATGCCGTTCATGTGTGCAGGCAGCCAGCAGGGAATACTCCAATGCTTCTGCTATGTGCCCAGAAATGAATGACGTCATCACCAAAAGCAAGACATGTGTGTCCTCTGTATTTTCCAACTGTGAGAGGTGAACACAAACATATTTGTACTTTGTAAGAGCCATTACTGAGTATATGAATGATCAGCGGTGTTGAGATTAACTGATGATCGGAAAATCTTCTACAATTCTTCTAAAATATTTTACACAATTACCTGCATGAAATTTGAAAAATAAATGTTTAAGGATGCCAAACATCGTCTGTGTGTCATCAACTCACTACGTTCCTAAAAACACAACCGCTTTAAACCAAAGAAATGTCAGGGGATTAATGCGCTGATCCGCAAGTTAAGGGGTCAGCATTTCGATTGTATCTTCTGATAACATGTCGAAGTGACCATGGGCAAGATGCTTAACCCCAAATTGCTCCTGTAAGCATGTGTACGATATTGATTGTATGAAAGTTGCCTTGGAAAAATAGCTTCAGCTTAATAATATATAATGCAAGTCAACACAAGGCAAGTTTTTAAAAGACAGGCTGCACACCTTTAACCTTTTCAGTAAGGTAACAAACTTGTTTTACTGTCCCCCTGCTGCTGTTTACCACCACTCGTCTCGTTCTTCCCTATGAGAGCTGCTCATTAGCGCATTAAGATAAAATGGCCCAACTTTGTCACACTTCACAGATTACTCGTCATGCTTGGCTGTCAGAGCAGAAGTACCCATATGTGCAGTCACATTAGCAGCTAATGTCACTTGTAAATGACCCCTAGTTTCTCCGAGTTGAGGGAAAAGCAGTTACTTAAGCCTTGTGCTGTTTAACTTCAGGGATATACGTATGTGCCCATACAGCTTTATTGTAAAACACTTCATTCAGAAGGATGACACTGACCCAGTAAAGCTTCCCAAAATTAACGCCATGGCTGATTCCACTAACTGTCCCGAACTCTGTTGGACTTCTCCATGTGTCACTTCCACAGGTTTTTAGTGTTACAGTAGGCGAGACCACCGGGATTGTAACATCACAAATTGCAGCCGACACTTCTAATTTGAACAAAACAGAAAACAAATAAAAATGTATGCTATTAATTTAGAGATTTAAAACTTTTCATAATAACATTTTCATTTTCTGTGAATTAATCATGTGACCTGTTTTGATCCCCTCAAATAATTTGAATCAGGAATCGATGAGAACAGGAACCGATGAGCAGGATGAGGATCATTACCGGAATCATTCAAATACAAACACAAATTAAGTAAACAGAAGTATTTTAGTGAAAAATGTTCTAGGGAGGGGCTTAAGAGTTATAGGCATTTCCCTCTCATGTTTACTTCTGTCGATTTGCCATTTTCTGGTATTTCTGATTCAGTTTTAGAAAAATACAATTGTTTAATTTATTGAATTGTATCTTGCTTTTATAATCAATAAGTAAATTAGAGACAGAATGCTCAATTAGATAAAAAGTCAAAAGCTACACTTTTAAGTAATCTTATGTAAGCCTCTCAGCCATCCTTTTTCTTCCCCAAAACAATCCACCTTTCATTTTGCCCTTCTTCTTGATCTCTCCCCTCTTCCATCTCCTTTTTTTTCCTCAGGTATTATCAGTGTCTGAGCTCTCCACCTCCTGAACGTACAATACCTCCACTCTTCTGTGTCGGCTGTTTCTCGGTCGGCTGGAAAATCAGGCCCTCCTCTTTGTGTATAACAAATCTCATCTCACCAAAATATTAATTTCACGGGTCGCTGTCCCATACAAGACAATATCCACGCAGGGAGAGGCATTAAGCATTATTCCCTTCTCTATTCAAATTGGAAACAGCGAAGTGGGGCTGTGCCAGAGATATCAGCCTCCTGCTGCACGCGGCCTGTCCTTGTAATGAGGTTGCAGCCGCGTCTAAACTATTCATTGTTGTCATTCAGCAGCTGACCTTATCATTGCTCTCCGATGACTTTGGCTTAACTGCGTTCAGAGGAGAAACGGCTCGCTTTTCTTGTTGTGTCGAACTGATGTGCTCTTAACAGTTTGTCATCGTTCAAAAGATACACATACCACAGCCCATGGGGTCACCTCACTGCTGAAGGTGTTGTCAAGGAAAGGACAGAGCTCTTATCCTCGTTGTAAAACACATCAGCCTCCCAGGGAATCCAGTGTGTAGAGCGTACATCAACTTATTGAAGACATGTTACTGGTTTTCCATAATCCGCATCTTGTTTAAACTCCTCTGCATCTCATCAGTACTTTTCCCTGAGTAATATAGTGCGAAATTCTTGATTTTTTTTAAAACCATAATTTTTCTAAATAGTCAATGATAGTATTCATGGGGAGCCTTTTTGTTTTTATAATCTGAAATGTGCCTTCTTTACAATTTTTTTTCAAGTTAAGCGTGTATTCTATAGTCAGCTAGTCTGAGTGATATCGGCCTCAACGTTTTTTGCTGCAAAACAAGTTCGCTTTTATTCTGAATCAGTCACAGGAAAAACAATGTCTTTACCATTGGGAATGGCGCTGACAGAAGTAAAAAAATAAAGCACCTGTAAAACAAGACATGGCCATTTTTTGAGTTATTTGACAGGGGATCAGTTTTTTAGATTGCAGGGAGTAATAGAACATGAAGGAGTTGTTACAGTGAGCTGTTGTTTGATGAGTTTTTAAAAGACAGGCTGCACACCTCTAACCTTTTCAGTAAGGTAACAAACGTGTTTTACTGTGCCCCTGCTGATGTGTACTACCACTCATATCGGTATTAGGGCTGTACCCGAATATTCGACTATTCGAATATTCGTTCGTTGGCCAACTATTCGGGTTTCAATTTCATTATTCGGATATTCGTTTTTTTTTTTTAAATATTATTTTTTCTTCTAAATGTATGCTATTACTAAAGGCGAATTGCCATATTCTTATACTATATTTATACTTTTGAATTGCACTGTTAAAATGAGGAAATATATACAATCTCAGCCTGTGCTCCTGACATCGCGTTCACTCACACTCACTGACGGCCCGTCTACACTACAGGCATCAAAAAATCTTGAAGCTGGGCGTGTCTGAGGCCTGGCGATTTCTCGCGCCCAAGGCGACCAACAACCAATCAGGAATCTCCCGCCCGCCCCCGGCATACAAAGCAAAAAAAAAGCCCGCTTCTTCAACGAAGTAAACTGGATATAAACTCCCCAAACAGTTGAAAACCTACCAGTTTCACCAACTGTCTCTGCCACCTCCCGCCATGCCTGGTTCCTCCGGTTTAGGTCCCGGTAGGTGAACAGAGTACAGTCATACAGATACAGGACTGGGACACTTGCCACGGCAATAATTAATTTATCCTCCATTTTATGACATATGGAAAATAGTCAAGACCTGCGGTATCAGCATACACGCGGTTTGATTGGCTAGCGCTCGTACTGGCGGGAATTGCATAAACGGGATTTGATTGGCTGATGCCAAGCATCGAGCCTCAAAAGTTAAACATTGTTCAACTTTTGATGCCGATAGATGCTCGTGATGCTTGCAAAGCCATGCCATGCTCC